AGTGTGAGGAGGAAAGAGTTGCAGAGAACTTCATGACCTGATCACAATCCCCACTGCCTGTCCTTCTGTGCACCACTCAGGCTAGGGAGGTAGAAAGTTGTGAGTGAAGTTGGGAGGCGTGAGGGGAGGGTATTTTTTAGATTTGTTCTTACTTCTCATAGTCCTACTCTCTTATTAACTGGAAATAAATTTCCACAAGACAAATCTATTTTGCCCCTGAGAGTAACTGGTAAGCGATATCCCTGTCCTTATCTCAACCCATAAGCTTTTCATTGTATTTTCTCCCCCTGTCCTGTCAAAGACAGGGAGTGATAGAATGGCTGGGTGGGCATCTGGCAGCTAGGCAAGGTCAATCCACCATAGATATATAATTTTTAAATAGTCAGCACCTTCTCAATACCAATTGCATGATGTCTAAATTGAAGACACCCTTGCCCCACAAGAAACTCTAAACCCAGCACAGTATGTTCTCACAAAAGACTTTTTCCACAGTGAAACTGATATGTGTCATATTTCATTTTGCCACTATGCCTTCACTGAATCATTGAGATCTGAAGAGAACTTACTTGCGATTTGTCTCTTTCCTTTCAATTAAACAGGTTCCTTCCAGAGATACACCTGCAAACAGTCCTCGAGATTTGCAGTACGTATAGACAGCAGCAGAGCTTCTCAGAGAAACATCCCCTTCTAAGTTTCTAGAAGGAAAAAAGTTTCCGTTAATATTCTGCAATACAGCTTTGCAATGTGAACAGCAATTGTCTTTTTATTTTAATCTGACCAAAGGCCAGCAAGTTTCACTTCACTCTGTTCTTACAAATTCTACTGAATATATTCAGCTGGGTCAGACTTAAATAAGAACTGAAAATGGATTTCGAGACAGGATCCAGTACAAGGTAATTAATTTGTTTGATAAGGTTTCCTCTGAAGCTCAGAACAATGTTGCCTCATCTGAATGCTCCAGATTAGACCTTCTCTGAATTCAGTAGTCCAAAACAATTAACCCATGTTTTAATCATATTTTAAAACAATCTGATTATGTTTGTGATGACTTGGGTTGATGGTTGGACTGGATGATCTGACAGGTCTTTTCCAACCTTAGTGATTCTGTGAACTCTAGCCAGTATAGCAATTGTTTCTTGATTTTATGGGGCTTAAACCAGCAAAAAATATTACAAGTAAGGACCTCAATAGAACCGAAAGATTACAATGTTTGTCCTACACAGAATACAGAATATTTTAGGTTTGAAGATATCTCAGGGAGTCAGCCAGTCCAACCTCCTGCTCAAAGTGGGCACAGCATCGAACTGAGATCAGGTTGCTCTGGGCTTTGTCTAGCCAGTTTTTGAAGACTTCTATGGAGACAGACTCCACAGGCAGCTTGAGCAACCTCTGCCAATGCTCAATTATACTCATGTTGAAGGTGTTGGGTTTTTTTTCCCCTCATATCCAGTCAGAATTGTCCTTGTTTCCATTTATGAATACCATCTCTCACTATCTTGCCATGCACCTCAGTAAAAAGCTGGGGTCTGTCTTCTTGCTAATCCTCTGTTGGGAATGCAGCTTCCTAGAAGACCTCAAGGTCTTCTCCAGGTTAAATACACTGAGCTCTCCCATCCTCATGGATCATGTCCCTAGGGTGCAGGATTCAGTATTTGTCCTTGCTTAATTTAATGAGGTTTCCTGTCGGATCTTTCCTCTGCACTCTCTAGGTCCATCACTCTGAATGGTGGCCCTGCTCTGAAGTGTATTGGCTGCACCCCCCGATATGGTGTCAGGGGGTATTTGAGAAGCATATTTCATATCTGCTCCTTCAGGTGATTGATAAGAATATCAAGCAGGAGAGGTCCACTGGAACCTGGCCTCTGAATACAACATGAATCATTTACCACTATTCTTCAATCCTGACGTTCCATTTTTTCATCTATTTGCTAGTCTGCCCCACCCCAACACCCAGGCCACAATGTGCCAGCTTGGACCCAGGGATGCTGCAGGACAGCATACTGAATGCCTTGCAATGTGGATGACCTCCACTGCCCTCCCCTGATCCATCTCATCTGTGGAGCAGGTATCATCTTACCCTTCCAGTTTTTTCAGAAAAGATGACAAAACATCAGTAAAGCCATCATAAAAACAAAGGTGTAAGAAGGCATATGTCCCATGAAAAGAGTCTGAGGCAAGTGGGCTTGGTTAGCTTAGAGAGGACTTAGGGTGGGGACTAACAATAGCCTTCAAGTATCTATGAAGAGGCAGTCAAGGATATGAAGAATATTTATAGCAGTGCATGGTGGAAGGACAAGACGCTATGGACATAAATTGAAACAAGAAATTTTTTGATTGGCTGTAACACAAAACTTTTCACAACGTGTACAGCTGAGCAGTAGAGCAGATTGCCCAGAGAGCCTGAGCTGTCTCTATCTCTGGAGGTTTTCATGACCCAGTTGGAATAAAGGCCTGAGCAACCTGATCTGAAGTCATAACAGACCTTGCTTTGAGCAGGAGACTGGACTAGAGATCTCTTAAATTCCCTTCCAAATTAAATTATTCCATGATTGTATCATCTCATCCTTCAGCGCAAGCTGGCTTAATCACTTAGGGTTTGAAAGTAATTATTTGATGTATCTTAATTTAGTGTCAGGCTGATCTGTGATGACAGAAAGCACAGGCCCATCAGTCAATGAAAATAATGGTTCGGTCAGGCACAGTAATACCTGTGCTCTTCATCGAGCCTAGCCAAGCAGTCTCCTGCACAAAGAGAATAAGCCTCAGAACACTTTCCATCTAGTAATAAGTGTCTATATCAGGAAAGAAAAAAAAAAAAAAGGCAACAAGTGACTGAAAAGGTGTAACACTGCAAGAACAATATGACCCTGTCAACATACAGGCTGCACAGGTTGTTTTGTAATATATCCCAAAAAAAAGTCATGTGACTGTTTATAAACAGTTTTAAAAGCTAACTTCCATATTTAGTTTTGCCCCATATTTAAATCCACCCCATATTAAGGAGCTATTTTACTCACCTCCCCAGAGGTCCAATTGCCACAGTAAGATTTCCTCCAAGTGTAAGATTTCCTCCTTTGGCAAAAGCTTCTACTGCTCTTTCATGATTCAATATTATCACTAAGTCTGAAACCTATAAAATATCAAATAAGAGTACTATACTTTCTAAGATGAAAGTTAGAAGGGCATGGGAGAAGAATCTTACATTTTTGCAGGAAAACAGGTGGGAGCATCAAAGATATTTTCCCTTCCCCAAAAGAAAACTAGCTCCAGATTTATCAAGGTTTTAATTGAAGCAAAAATCTCTGAAAATTACATCCTTTCTTGTAAAGGATTCTTTGGAAAGAGTTTTATAACAAAAGTTGATACTTTTTCTGCAAGATAATCAGAAACTAAAAGTCCTTTCACTTAGATTTTTAAACAAATTTGACTTATTTTTTTTCAAGTGCAGATATGGTCAGAATGTGACAGACAACAGCTGTAACAGAAACACTATTTTAATTAAAATTTTCCTAATTAACAGATTTTTATTTCCTATTGGATTTGAAAACTATTAAACCAAATAACTGAAGAACTGACAAAGTATTTTTTCATTAAAAATAAAGATTCAAATGCAAAATAAAAAACAAAAGGAAAATCGCTATTTTTAAAGGACTTTATTTGCCTGGATAGTGACACAAAATGCACATATCAAAGAACTTCTACTACTATTTAAGTTGACACCTATTACCACCAGTACTGTAAAACTACAACTCTCTTGAAATTTGTTAAATTCAAAAGACGACTCCTAGCACTCTTCTTCCAAACTATGAAGCACTTTAAAAAAGGAAAACATCTTTCAAACACAAGCATGACCCTATAAAGATCACTCTATCTTACTTAAAACCTCAGAAAACACACTGCATGTATTAAAAAAGAAATCCTGCAGCACCAGCCTGTTCAACAGAGTAGATTACATTTTTGTAGCTTACTGTGATGGATTATTTTTTAAACAGATGTGCCCAAGGACTACTGTACTTCATCTTTCATCTGGTGGACTTGACTGAGAGCCAGGTTCAGAAAAAACTTTCAACTTACCCCAAATTCCAAACAGGGACAGCACAGAATACAAAAGAAAATACTAAATTATTTGCAAAACAAGGGTGGCCCAGATGTATTACACACAGCGTAAGAGGGGCCTTTGTTATTAGCCCCTGTAACCTCTACCCCATACCAAAAAAAAGGATGGCTGACATGAGAGATTCTGAATCATCCAAGGATGGAGAAAGAATATCATTCAGAATGCTGCTACCTCCTCTTACCCATTAAGAAGATGAATCCATAGTGAGAAAACCTTCAAGGAAAGCATTTAGATGAATTTTAAAATTGGTCTTTAATTTGAGGTACCAAGTTATTTCACTTGGAAAAACATGCAAATACTATGATTTCTGAAGACTGTGATTTCCTGCTTGGTGTTTAAAACCACTATGGCTGTGTCAACTACAATCTCTCCTACAGGAATAAAATTCATCCAATTTCTACAAAGTTTAATTTTATATATGACTAAAAGAATGATGAAATTCAGATTCTGGGCTCCTACGCCACTTAAGTATTTCTGAACAGTATCTCTTCTCTAGAAGTAGTAAATACGATTGTGTTATAATAATGCCAGCAAGGAAAGAGTATTTTACAGGCTGACTAAAATTTCAAATGAAGCGCACAATATTGCTCTGAAAAAACATCCTCTCGGAAATGGGTTCTTTATTGAAATTATGCGAGTAAGTATCAATAGTAAATTATTACATTGTCTAAAATATCAGATAGAGATGATTAAAGGAATCTTTTTGGTAGATTAATCAATGCATCTGAAGAGTCTGTTTAATTGTCATAAAAGAAAAAAAAAAACCAACCTCAACCCCTGGAGCTCAAACTCAAGTGTTTTGTAATGCATTCAGATCCTGTAGCCATGAAAACCAAAGGAAAAAAGCTTACAAAAATTACTAATTTTGTATTCACAGCATCCTTTAAAACGTGCACAGTAATAATGTCCGAGATCACACAGCGAACAGTAAAATATTGATCCATTGCTCATTTTGTGAGTGCTAGCTGACTGGCTGTCAGGACAGGGATAGCTGGTAGCTGTAGGAGACACGCTGGGGGCTGCCGTGTACCACCCAGATCAGCTATGCATGCATTCTCCTGAAGAGCACAATGCCATAGCAAGAGATCGTGTTGGCAGCATACCATTACTTGGATTTTCTTTGGGAATTGGTAGAACAGATGTTGAGCAGAAAGAAAACAGAAGGCCAAGACTGGAGGCCAGGGTGGAAAAGAAGAGGAAAGAAGGAAACAAAGAAGGGTGAAGGAGCTGTGAGGAAGAAGAGACAGGACGCAGAGGCAGAGTGCTCACAGGGCTCAGATCAACAGGATTTCTCTGAACATGCCGAGTCCTGTACTCAACCATTTCTGCTGGCTGGGAACTGGCTCCTTTTCTGTAGCATTCCCTCAGAGGAGGCACCGTCAGTTTTGGCACTCCCAAACTGAATGGTGAAGTCAGAAACCACAGGTTTGAGAGGCAAATGTGTGAAGCACAGTAGCATTAACTACAATAGGCTTGTATGTGAACAGACTGGAAGTTTTCCATAAGGGAAGAATTCTGTCTGCTAGAAGTGAGAAATTGAGGAAATAGCTGTTATGTCACGTCTTTTCCTTTGAATCTCTCCAAGCAATTAGACTGATCAAAACTCCGTATTTTGTCTTGTATAAATGAATTTATAATAGCTTTTTTACACAGAACCTACTATCTCACAAACATTGAGATCTTCATCAATGCATTTTAATTTCTTGCAAAAAAAGCTATCAACGAGTTATTTCAAACGCAAAATTATACCTCAATTCCAATTTCAAATCCACCACCAAGGCCAGCAATTCCTATTGCAGAAGGAGCAGACCAGGCTGTCATGCAAAACAAGACAAATTTACAGAATTTTTAACATGTTACACGAAATACTGATTTTATTATTAGAGTTCAAAAATGCTAAAAGTTCTCTATTTAAAACTATGTTCACAACCACCAGAATGAAAACACTTAACTGTACTGGTTTATCCCACAGGTAGGAATATAAGAAATATGAACTCTCATTTAAACAAATGTTTTCTATAAACATATATATAAATAAGTAATATATAATCTTTTTTTATAAATTACTTATCATATCCATGACAGGACACAATTCATTATTCTAAAAAAAATGTTAAACTATTAGCTTTTATATTTCAGACTTTTCTACAAATGTATTGAAAGCACTATTTAAATCTGGTATAAAGTAGGCACAAAATTTTGAAGACAGCTTTCAAACCAAGCATTGTCACCTGCTGGCTTGACTCCTCACACATCTCGTGTTTTATGCTATGAGAAGAAATACGGAAGAATATTTCTTTTTCTTCTTTTCAATTCTCCCATGAAGTACACCAAAAGAAAATATCCACTTACTTCCATTAGGAAGACGAGCTAATACAATTCCACTTCCGCCTCGAGCGGTCACCAAAAATCCAGCTTTGATAACAGACAAAACGGCAAGGCCTTTGGCTTTAGCTATTACATGGGCTGAAAGAGTAAAATAATTTATTCAAGTTCTTATAAGAGTAATTCAAAGAAAAGGGTAAAATAAAACTCTACATTTAAAAATGTTGAACACATAAGAGTCAAATAACTGAAGCGAAAGTGTAAAGAAAACTGCAGTAAATTTGAGCTGATAATGACACCTCCTATCCACAGTCCACCACAAAGCTAGTCACAGGTTACATTAGCCTGTGCTGAGCTCTACACTGCCACAACAGCTTCACCAACCCTGGTTAGCCCCTATGGAATTAGTTTGCTTATTGCCATGAACATTACGTGAGTACCCATATCAAGATAAAGAGGCAGGAAATAGACGACATCCACGTCTCTACACATTTTTGGAGAAGTCTGAATTTATATCACAGTGACACACAGCAGTGTACTCAGCTTCAATCATTAGACAGTGTTTGTGGCAAATAAAGTGGCATCAGCCTGCAAGTCTTATTACAGGCCTTCTGGAACATAATAGCTAGGAATTCAAAGCCACGACCAGCAACAACAGATGTAGGAAGACACTAAAAGCACAGAGTAACAATGGCAAAAATAAAGAGGACAGCAGCAACTAGGAGCGCTTAATCAGTATCAAAAGAGAAATGTGCCCTGATCTCTTTCCTTCAACTTATTTTCACCTAGCTAAACAGGATAAGCACAAATAGTCAAGACCTAGAGCATCTATTCCAGGTTCTCCCATAAGAATAGATATTCACAGAGTGAGCAGGATACATCCCATTCATCCCAGAGAGAAGCCTTCCTGGGCAGATACCCCAGGGCTGTAAACATGCAAAAGATCTGCCCCAGTAAGTAATGTCTGCCTAGAATACAGACAACTGAACCCCTTTACTTCCAAAATATTTTCACAATAGTTATGGCACCCTAGACCTTCATTCCTCCCGAAGTTATGGACAGTGAAAACAGAGGGAATTGGTAAGACAGCAAGATTTCAAGCCAGGGAGCACCTGGAGGTTTTAGCAGAATCAAAACATTTTCTTTACTCACGAGGTATGATTTTATCGGGTCCGTTTCTGGAAGTTATTTCTGTGAATTCTCGTAATATTTTAGCTGCCTTTTTAGCTTCTGACTTCAAGTTGGAAGGTATAGGGTTATTCACTGTAAAACAATAAAGAAATAAGAAATTATTCAGAATTATAAGAAACTATGGCCAGCTCAGGATAGCTCATATAAAAATAAATCAGTGTAATTTGTATGGGAAAAGTGACTTTTCACAAATGAAGTGTAAACCAAACAAACAGAGAAATGGCAAATAAAAGAAATTATCTTCTGCGTCAGACCCACATTTTACCTCTGATGGTAGTAACAGAAGATGCCACTTAGGAAGAACACACAAGCCCAGTTCTTTTCCACAATCTGTTCCCATCGTAATTCCTCAGAACCCACAGTAAGAGCAAGGATATTGGAGATGTAACCTCAGTTGTTCCTGTCACTATTTATTTATGGGGTCATTGAATATAAATTGGTCTAATACCTTTTCAAACCTGCTGATATTCCATAGCAGCAGTTCACTACCTGCTACTTGAAGAAATGTGTGATTTAATTTAAATTAACATACTATTTACAGTGAATGCCTGCTAGTTCATGTCTCAAGAACTATGGTGAACAACTACTGTATCCAACTTATCCACTACCTTCATGCTTTTATAAATAGCCACAGCCTTCTCCACTTCTTCAGGAGTCCCAGCCTTCTTAATCTCTCCTCAAGGTAGTTGCTCCATCACCCTGATCGCTCTAATTGCTCTTCTCTGTACCATCAACGCTGCCCTTCAAACCCACAACTGTTGACCAGCAAACATACAGCACTAAAAGGTCAACATCTCTGCTTTCTCTCTCTGTTAATGAATGGTATTTCCTTTCTCCTCATGAGATTTCTCTTACAGAACTAAAGCTGCAGCACTGTTCTGAAAGTGAAAAAAATTCTCATTCAGACCAAGAAATTTCCTTCAGAAACCTACTTCCTGTTGAAGTGTTTATCAATATTTTCTCTCCAGTGTGATGCAACATAAGCACCTCCATAGATTTTGGAAAATCTATTAGGGGTAGATTATGTTTGCTTTATAAAGCCACAGACTATAGTAGCAAACACAAAAAATCTTGAAATTTACCCCCCAAATCCACTTGATCATGTATTCTGCAGAACAGGGTTGATTGTGTTTAGATCCATCAGACTTGCTGTCATTAATCAACTACTGAATAGAATCAAGTCTTACAAGATAATAATATTTCGCAACACTACAAATACTAGAATCATAGAATTATTAAAATTA